GTTTCAACATGTCTCTGTCTATCTGAATTGTAGTCAGAGAGAAAATTATCTTGTTCCCTCTTAATCTATTTAATTTAGAATCAGTTGTGAGAATCCATAGGTCTTAATCTCCATACTTCCTAAAATAGAGGGCTGTATGCATACCAGTGATTCAGAATATTTGTTAACTTAAGTAAAGAGACTAGAGAAAAGAATGTAAAGAAGAGCATAACACTAACACTATTGTGAGCATGAGGAGAGCCTAACACTATTTTGTCTTTAAAGTCAATCTAGTAGAATAATATAAGTTCTATTCAACTATATTTAAGTGGAGTAAGAATCATGAGTGAAGGAACAGAGGGAAATCGTTTTTTTTTTTTTTTTCACCAACCTGACAAGGTATTGATGATGTTGAGATAATGTATGCAAACCATTCAGCCCCAGTCTCTGTATATAGTAATTCTCATTCCAGATAACCAGAAAATACTTCTTGTCATTATTTCAGGTGTTCATGGGGTAGAAGATTTTTCTACCACTGGAATGGTTAAGATTTTAAGAAATAGTTTTGCACCACAGTTAAAAAAAAATTGGAAATCATCGTTCATTAACATTGATAGTCTCTTCCTAAAACCAGATATGAGAAGCTTAAAAAAGATAAGGAAAGAATGGACTTCAGTGGGTGTTATTCAAATTATATGTCTTCTCTTTTTAATCATAGCCTGTGTCTATGACATTCTAAATTAAGACACAAACAGGGACCAAACTAATTTATTAAGTGCTATGACTTTAAATATCATTTGTTAGACTAAATCAATAGAAGGAATATATTTGAAGTGGCTGAAATAACCACTTTTGACTTGGTTGGCATTTAAACCTTTTGGGCTTAGGAATCACTGATGTGACACTTTCAGGGGTTTTGATTTTATAGACTCCTTGACCCAGAGTTTTTAAAAATACAAAAAGGGACGTGGCCTTAGAGATAAGACAGGCATCAGGCTGTCACTGTGAAGCTGCTTTGCTTTTAAATGGACTGTTCCCAAGTTTGAATTCATAATCTAGTGGCAGAAAAGCTTTGGATTTGCTGGCAAAGATGAATGATGCTCAGAAGCTATTACCTTCAAATAGAAATTGGTGGATAAATAGGGTATGGATGTTTAGATTATGACCTAAAGGGAAGTGGAGTATTGACTTGAGAAAATTATCTTGTCAACTTGAGACAAAATTAAAGTTCACCTTTAAAGGAGTCAGATCATTAATGCCAAAGTGTAGATTCTCATTCACTTGTGTGATAAGAAGTAAAAAAAAAAAAAAAAGTTACTAAAATTATCTAGATTTATTTAAAAATATTATAATTTGTAAAGTCTCACTTAAACACGTTTAAAATATGCAGAAAACTCTCAAGGACTCTGAAAATAAGGAGAAAAAGCACCACTGAATATTACTGTTTAAAAAGAAAACCTCTCCTGTTTTTCCTATCTGGAGTATGAGAACTTGCATTTGCCTATAGTATTCTGATCAAAGAAACAGGAAAGAAACAGACATTAATAGGGATCATCTCAAATTAAGTGTCTTTATTCCACAATTATAGCCTGGGTCTATTAGATTGTAAACTAGAAGAAAAGCAGAGACCAAACTAATTTATGAAATGCCATGATTTTAAGTAGCTTAAGTCCAGGTAAATCAACATAGAGAAGCATAATCTCAGAAGACTAATCAAAACCTACTTACTACCAAAAAGAAATTCCCACTTTAAGTTTTCAGGGATAGTTGCTCATTAATGGCTACTTAATGATCTCTGAGAGGGAACTGATGTTCGAATGGAAGCTGAATTCCCTAATTAGTTTCTGGGTCACTACCACTGTCTTAACCAAGCTTGACTCAGACAAGTGACAGTACATCAATTCGCCAAAGGCAGTGTTAAGAGGTTTTTATAACTACACTTAGGAAACACTGCAGGGTTAGGGGGAGAGTCTTTACTCCTTGGAAGAGTAGCCAATGGAGGGTTTTCTGTCTCAGCAGCTTGGAAGGCTGTGGAATGACACTTGTGAGTAGGAAGGAAGAAATGGACTGAGGAGTGAGAACTCACTCTGCTAAGTCAATCTTCTGTGCATGAGGCTTTTAAAGTACTTTATTTTCAAATCAAATCTAAATCAGCCAAATAAGTAGAGAAACAGGCACAAAGCCAAATAATTAATTAAAAGCACAGAATTTGGATTTGTTCTTCATGTGTTTTAGGACAAATTATAATTTAGTAAAGAAAAAAAGCAACATTTGAAAAGTGGTCTCATGTTCATCTCACACTGCAAGAGCAGATATAATCTTTGACACTAATATTCCCTAAGAGTATGTAAGAAAGCATAAATATATAGTAACTGGGACATGTCTCCATAGTATATTATCTAAAAATTTTAATATATTATTTAAAATTTTTAATGCTCTGAAATTAAATGCACTTCGAATCATATAAGATGAAAAAGATGGAATTTTTAAAAAATTAGAGACATTAAATTGTGTCACATTAAATTGTTCTCGTGCATAGCCATATGGTTATTTTTTGACTCCTTTATTACTCTACTCTGAGGATTATTTACATAAACTCTGTTTTTAACCCAATGTTCCAGAACACATCTTTTTGATTTTTGTGTTTTTTTCCCCTCTATGTTTAAATTTATAAATGCATTCTTTCTTTTGATCATTTATTCAACAAATGGTACTGAATACCTATTGGGAGCCAAACAGGATGCTAAGTACTGGTCCTGCAGTGGTATGCTAAAATAGGCACTGTTCGTGAACTCGTGCAAATAAATTAATTTTAATAGGAGAGAGATTAAGAAAATAGCCACACAAATGAGAAATTAAGAATTGCAGTAAGTGGGTGCCTGGGTGGCTCAGTTGGTTAAGCGACTGCCTTCGGCTCAGGTCATGATCCTGGAGTCCCAGGATCGAGTTCCGCATCGGCCTCCCTGCTCGGCAGGGAGTCTGCTTCTCCCTTTGACCTTCCTCCCTCTCATGCTCTCTCTCTACCATTCTCTCTCTCTCTCAATAAATAAATAAAAATCTTAAAAAAAAAAAAGAATTGCAGTAAGTGCCATGAAGGAAAACCCTATGATTCAATGAAAACATTAGAAAAATGTCTCAGCACAGGAATTTGGTTATAAATGGAGTAAAACTGGCATTTACTAGTGTCAGGCACCAGTATATTCCTCTATGGCTTGTATAGAGAAAGGTCCTGAGAACAGGAGGAAATTGTTACAAACCTTAGGGTTTATTGCAGGTAAGAGAGGCAGGGTGTGGAAACACTGTCTCTCTCCCTCCCCACCAAACAAGAAGTTTTATATTATATATATTATGCAGGCAGAGAAGGCACCCTCCAGAAACACCTGAAAGAAGAACATATTATCAATATACTCAAAATGTTTCCTTCCATCTGGTAGTCACATTACTTATAAAAGGATCATAACTCAGTTTAGTTTGGGTTTTTGTTTTTTAACCGAAAGGGGAAGAAGATAGTTTTCAACATACCCCTCGTATAGAACTCTGAATTTAAATGTGTGAACATGAGAGCTGAATATATGCTCATTTTCAAAAGCTTTGCAGTTTTTTATTGACGTATAAATGACATAGAGTATCCTATTTGTTTTAGGTATATATCAGGTGATTTAATATTTTTATACATTACAAAACAATCCCCACAATAAGTCTAGTTACCATCTGTTACCATACAAAATTATGACGATATTATTGACTACATCCCTATGGCTTATTTATAACTAGAAGTTTGTAGCTCTTAATCACCTTTACCTATTTCACCTACCCCCAACCCTTCCCCACTCTGGTAATCAATAGTTTGTTCCCTGTATTTATGAGCCTATTTCCATTTTGTTTTTTTAGTTTGCACATATAAGAGAAGGCAGTATTTGTCTTTCTCTATTTTACTTAGCATTATACCCTCTAGGTTCATCCATGTTGTCGCAAGTGGCAAGATTTCATTCTTTGTTTTATGGCCGAGTACTATTCCATTGTATATATATTACATCTTTATCTATGAATGGAACACCTAGGTGGCTTCCATATTTGTAAGTAATACTGCAATGAACACAGGAATGCATATATCTCTTCAAATTGGTGTTTTTGTTTTCGGGTAAACATCTAGAAGTAGAATTGCTGGATTGTATGGTATTTCTATTAATAATTTTTTGAGTATCCGCCACAGTGTTTCCCATAGTGGCTGTGCCAATTTACTTTCTCAGCAACAGTGCATGAGGATGGTTATCTTTTCTCCCCATCTTTGCCAACACTTGTTATTTTTTGTCTTTTTGATAATAGCAAATCTGGCATGTATGAGGTGATATATCACTGTGGTTTTAATTTGCATTTCCCTGATGACAGTGATGTTGAACATCTTTTCTTTTGCCTGTTGGCAATATGTATGTCTTCTTTGGAAAAATGTTTTTTTCAGTTCCTCTGTTCATTTTTTAATTGGATTTTTTATATTAAGTTATGTAAGTTCTTTATATATATATTTAGGATATTAACCCCTTATCAAAGACATCAATTGCAAATATCTTCTCCTATTTCAGTAGGTTGCCTTTTCATTTTGTTGATGGTTTCCTTCACCATGCAAAAGCTTTTCAGTTTGATGTAATTCCATTTGTTTATTTTAGCTTTTGTTGCCCTTGCCTGACACTGGTCCAAAAATATATTGCTAAGACTGATGTTGAAGAGCTTCTTGCCTATATTTTCTTCTAGGAGTTTTATGGTTTCAGGTCTTAATTCAAGTCTTTAATCCATTTTGAATTTATTTTTTTATATAGTTTAAGTAGTCATCCAGTTTCGTTCTTTGGCATATGGCTGTCCAACTTTTCTAACACCATTTATTGGAGACTGTCTCTTCCTCATTGTATATTCTTGCCTCCTCTGTCATTGATTGACAATATAAGCATGGGTTTATATCTGGGCTCCCTATTCTAAATGCTTTCCAAGTTTGATAAGTGCTGGCATGATGCTCTGTTCTGTTCCAGGAGATTATGTGGTCATGTCTGTCTACTTTGACCTGAGCAGAAGGATGGGATACTTCACCATCCAGACCTACATCCCCTGCACACTCATTGTTGTCCTATCCTGGGTGTCTTTCTGGATCAATAAGGATGCTGTTCCAGCCAGAACTTCCTTAGGTGAGACACATTCCTTTTTCATTTAGCGTTCCAAGATAAGTATCCAGTATCAGTAATCTTCATTCCCCTTTCTAAGTTGATGTGCTGTTAATTGAGTCAGCAATTACATAGAAATGCCATTATTTTATTTTAAAGAAAACTAGCATATTAAAAAAAGGTGTTCAAAAGTTTTCCAGTTCTAGTTTTCCTTAATTACCTTGATTCGCTTTCTTTAGTAAATTCTCTTAATAAATTTAAGTTTGACTAGGAAAAAAAAACCAAATTTCTAATTTCAGGAGATTTTGCATTTTGGTCTCTGGGTAGTTATTTCCAGAGCTGCTCACACAAGCTCATGAGAGCTGGTTGTGTTTATTCTTTCCAGATGTATTGAGAGATGTCACATTGGTAGATTGAAGTCAGCCAAGGTGAAAGTATTAACATCATAGAAATAGGCAAACACTAAAAATCAGGACCGCCTTTTTTTCCCCTAGAGTCAACTGTTACACATTTATCGGCACATGACTGGCTCTTAATTCCAACATCCATAATTATCATAATGACATTTGAAGATGTACATACACAGCAATTGGCTCTAACCATTGAAAATATTTTGGGAAAAATACCTGTGACATTTTGGGAATACAGCCCCTCCCCACCTCAAACACATACACTTTTAAGATTATTTGCATCTTTCTTGATGTATTATATATAGAGATACTTCGATTTTCACATTTTTTTTTCTCATGTAAGGAAGAAGTTTCAAATAGATTATTACAAAGCCACAGACTCACAAGGACATTGGAGTCTAAGTCCATGAATGTTAAGTAGTTAACTAAGAATTAAGCTGTTGAAAGATGAATTATACAATCACAGTCCTCTTTTATCAGCTATGTGAAAACTAGAACCACATCTCTTGCCCGCTCTTTGACTAGTGAGTAAATATAATTACAGTAGTTAAGAGCTCCGGTTTTAAAACCCAATAAATCTAGATTTCATCCCACATGTATAGTATGGCTTGAAAATGCTCTTTAGTTTCTGTAAATCATATTTTCCTCAAATGTGAAGCATATATCATTTTCTGTAGGGTTTTGTTAGATTGATCTAGGTTAGGTACAGAAAATACTTAAGAAAATAAGGTATTCCACGCAACATGCACAAAACATACTAAAGCATTAGAAATGTTAGCAACTACAGTTGACCCTTGAAATATGTGGGGGTTAGGGGTTCTAACTCCACCTGAGCAGTCAAATAAGCCACGTATAACTTTTAACTCCCCCCAAACTAATAGCCTATTGTTGCCTAGAAGCCTTACCAGTAACACATATATTGTATGCCACATGTATTATGTACTGTATTCTTACAATAAGAGAAAAGCAAATGTTATTAAAAAACTCATAAGGAAGAGAAAATACATTTATTGTACCGTGCTTTATTTGTTGAAAAAATCTGCATATAAGTGGACCCATGTAATTCAAACCCACGTAGTTCAAGGGTCAACTATATATCATTTTCTGACAAAATGCTCTGTACCAGGTTATTAAAACTGAGGGCAAAAGAGATTACTGGGAAGAAGACATCATTTGCATGTTTGTCCTCTTCCAAACCTAATTTAGTCTCCCATCTGTTTCAAAATAATTTTGCTTGGACTTTTCTGTTATATGCGGTACATTGTTACAAGTCCTATTCAACACTTAGAATATCTTGTTTACTTCTACCAGCTGAAATAAACCCAAAGTATGTCGAGCCTATTGCTTTAGGACTATTGTCATTGTGAGTAGACTGTATTGCCTTATATGCTTACATGTCTGTCTCTCACATCAGAATGTAGATGTTTTTTCATTCCCAGTATAGTGCCTGGCACAGAGCTGGTTCTTCATTGATTATTCAAGTAATGTATGCTCTTATGAATGGATGGAACAAATGCATTAATACATTCCAATCTACCCATACCAAAAATATTTTAAGGAAAAGATCTCAAATCAATCTCTTCTCTTGAAGTCCAGACTTCTGCTGGTCAAACCTCTCTTAAGGCCACTTTGGTAATTCATTTCAACCAGTCATTAAATGAGCCCTTACTGGCCAAAACTGCTGTAGGAGAAGGGATCAAGGTGAGTGAGCTAAAGAATGAGGAATGAGAGAGAGGCCCCTGAACAAGTAACAGGTATGTGCTGCTATTTGTTGATCTTTGACTGTATGTCACGCCTGTTTAATATAGTCCCCATGACTTTTCTACTCTTCACAACTACTTATAGAAGTTATGGTGATAATAAAAATTATTAACACATTTTGTAGGGCTAAGGAAGCAGAGGTGCTGCAAGGTTAAATGACATTCACAAGGTCACACCCCCAGCAGATAGTCTATGTGCACCTTGGCTAATGGGGCCTAGAGTTGCTCTGTGTGTGAGGCTTTGTTGAAGGCCAGTTACGGGGAAAGGTGGGCAGGAGAGACAGTTTCTCTGTGTTAACTTCGCTTTCTCAGTTCTCTAGATCAGTGCTTCTTAAATTCAACTGCACATTTATATCACTAGGATGCCTTTACATGTATAGCTGCCTCAGTCCAGTCACAAAAGATGCTTATTTAAATTTTGAGAGCTTGGCCTGCATGTCAGGATTAAAAAAAAAAAAATTCCCCAGGTGATTCTAACATGTGATCACATTACCTTTTCCAGTGTTTACAATTAAGCAGTAAACCAGATGACCCTAAACACCTGTGGACCTAAAGTTTATCGTCACAGAATAGTTAAAGCCAAGTTGTTGGATGAGTGAGATGAATATACCCATTCGGCTCAGACTCTTCTGAGCTCAGACCACAAGAGCATGGGAAGCAGTCATCTGGGGGCTTACAACACTTGAATATAGTTTGACACACAGGTGGTAGCTGATAAGCCTTAAGCTGGTAGACCTTAATCATGGTTAAATGTCAATGGATGAAACAATAAAAACACCAGGTGGTATTTTTCACACGAGTAATCTGAGGTGAGGTAGCATGCCTGAAGAGCTTACTTGATGCCAAGACTGGAGGAATTGATAAAAGCTATGGATATTTTTTCATCTATGCCAGGTAAGCCTAATCCTTTGATTAGCGAAACTGGACTTTAAAAACCACTCCCAGCTATCTTGTTGTTGGTAGGTGGATCAGTTAAAACTACCACTCATCCTGCACCCACTGTTCTCTTCCCCGGGGATCCAACCAGAAACCTGAAAATATCATGAAGCTGTTCTTCAAGAGTCTCCTTTTACATTACATGGCTGTGATGAACTTCCATGTAGCCTAAACAACATCTTCCCAATTTGCTAGATAAGTTTTTAACTTACATGTTAGACATATCAGATTTTATTTATCTACTGTAAATCATGACATTTTCACTCCTCCATAGGTCAAGTGTGGCTTGAGGCCTGAATGTGAAGAGAAGGCCAAGGTGCCCCCCATACGCAAATAATGAGTCATTGAACACCACATCAAAAACTAATGATTTACTGCACGGTGACTAACATTAAAAAAAAAAAAAATTACTCTCCTTAAAAGTGATGTATTATCAGCTGAATAATACATGATGAGAATTCCTAGGGGCTATTGTTTATTTGTTTATATATAATAAAATTACAAATTTAAGTAATCAAAAATAAATTCTCCCCCCCAAAATATATCAACTGTAATTATGTATAGTCAAGAACTTCTACATGAATTATTGCATGGACAACTCGAGTGAAGTTTTTTTAGTTTGAGAAGCAGACTGTTCTTCCCTAAAATAAATAGCTTACATTTACTGATACTTTACTAGGAATTTACAATTAATGAACATTACTTAACTTAATCTTCACAAGAACACTAGGAGGTATGCCCCTCCCCACCGCACCCCTAGTTTGTAGATGAGAAACTTGACCATTGCTAAGGTTCTATCATGACAATATGGGAGACCCACAGTCCATATCATCCTGAATTAGGAAAATACACTAGCTTCCAAGTGTCTGGTGCTTCATGCGGCATATTAGGTACATATTCATAGAGAGGGAATATAACAATGTGGGTCAGAGCACAGCATTTTAAGTCAGACTTTGTAGGCTTGTATCATCTTTCTCACCTTCTACCTTGGACAAATTCCTTATTCTTTCTGTGCTCAAGTTTTTTTCACCTGCCAAAAAAGGATAACAGTAATAATCCTCATTGTGAGGATTTTGTGGGATAATATATAAAGTACTTGAGGCAGTACCTGGTCAAAGAAAGAGATCCACTAAATGTTAGCTGTTGTTATGTACAGTTAAAACTCTATCCCACAGGCCATCAATGTGGATTCCTATTTTCAGATGTAGGATGAGTCCATCTGACCTATCATATATACACTATTCATTGATTGCTCCATTTATGCATTCAAAAGGGCTTTTATTGAGTCCCACCACTATACTTGTCTTATGAAGTCACAAGGACATTAAGATAGAGGTCCTTTTTTGTCACATAATATACAGATTACAAAGGGAAATGGGCTATTCCCTAATAATAATATAGGAAAGAGGCTATGATTGTACTTTATAACTGCAGTTCCCTTGATCATACTTCTCCTCTATGAAAGGCTACTCTTTTTTTGTGCAGTTATTTCAACCAACACCAATCTTTCCTCTCTTGGGAATTTTATAACAGAAAATACACTGAGGAAACTTGATACTAAACTAAGATCTACTGACCCAAGAGAGCCACATGGTTCTTGGGCTTATTTATTCCATAACTGGAAGTTTGTACCTCTTAATCCCCCTCACCTGTTTTGCTTATACCCCTATCCATCTCCCCTCAAGCAAACACCAGTTAGTTCTCATGAGTCTGTATCTATTTTTGTTGTTTGCTCATTTGCACACTTTGATCTATTTTACTTAGGATAATGTCCTCTAGGGCCATCCATGTTGTCACAAAAGGCAAGATTTTTATTTTTTTCTTATGGCTGAGAAATAGTCCAGTGTGTGGTGTGTGTGTGTGTGTGTGTGTGTGTGTGTGTGTGTGTGTGTGTACCATATTATATTTATCCATTCAT